TAAAACTTTGCAAAAAAGCACCCAAGAAGCACTAATGCTCCTAGTAGACTGAGAAGCCAGCTGCCTCATATGGAGACCCTCAGGAATGACTAAGAGGCAGTCAGAGCTGATGGAAACAGTAGTAGAGGTAAACATGGCAATGGCAAGAACCATGTTCAAACAGTGGAGAGAAATATAGGGGATTGAGGATGGTAGGACAACAGCAGGGTTAAGGTGGCATGAAGCAGATAACCTTAGGGGGGGAAAAAAGGAGGAGGGACTAGGCCTCAACACCAACTTATTGTAGATAACCAGAAACTGCTCTTAACAAATCAAGGCTGCATATGCAGTAAAATGTCTGGCAGAAGTGATTGCGACGAGGAAAGCAACCTTGCGAGCGAGTTGGGTCAAAGGAATAACTGAGAGGTTAGGTTCAAATGTTGGCTTTGCAGCTCTGACAGGACTAAGCTGAGGTCCCACAGAGTCAACAGAGTGTGTGTATAGGGGGAACATCGCGAGTTACCCTATAAACAGGGGTCTTCACTAGAGTGAGAGGCAAGCATCAGGAAAAGAACAGCAGAAAATGTGACCCCCTGATAGTACTTAAGGCTAAATACTGGTCTAGGTCAGACTGGAGAAAAGTGGTGATGCGTCTCATGAAGTACTTCCTTGAATTAAACTTCCTTTCTTCACTCCAAGGAAAATAAGCCTTCCAGGTGTGATGGTAGGCATTGCAGGAGGTCGACTTGCTAGCTTTCAAGAGCACATGGATGACAGCATCCGAAAGACCTCTGTTATTCAGGACCTGGGCTTTAAACAGTCAAGCCATTAGAGCCTACCTGTGACAAAGCATTCAAAACCCCTTCAGGTGAAGATATTTTTCTAAAAGTTTCAGACATTGACAACTGACAAATTTTCCATGCCTGGAACGTGAAGACAGAGCCAGAACATGAAGTTCCACCCAAGCCAGAGTCAGGCCTGCTCCTCTTTAAGCTGAGTAACATCAGGTACCTCTCTGATGGTTTATGCAAGCCATGGCTTTGGCACTGTCCATCTGAAACTTGGCCAGGTGGCACTGTAACTAAGGAAGCCAGTCTGGGCATTAGGATGTTAATTGGAAGTTGAGATTCCTCCAACGACTATATCCCTTGAACCAAGAGGGTATTCCAGGACTTCTTCCCAGCCTAACAAGATGGCACCCAATGTGAGCACCTTCCAGGCCAACAGAAGAAAGATTTTCCCAATTCCAGGGAAGGGTTGTAGATCCACCATGCCAGGTGAAGCCCGTCTTTGCTGGACAAATGAACAGGGAGGTCCAGGGACTGAGCCCGATTGTCCCACACAGGCAGAATCTTGAGCTGCAATATCCTAGAGTGAATTAAGCATAGAGGGCTGCTTCAAAAGAAGGTCACTATGAAGCCAAGAACCTTCATACATAAGCAAACAGTTGGGAAGATGCAGGAGAAGGCTGTGTCCAAGAATAGGCCAAATCACCACATAACACGAGCTGTAAAAGCAAATGTACAGGGAAGGTTTTGGTAGGTTTGGGCAACCCACAAACGCAGACTGTCAACCGTTGGTAAGGCCAACACAAAGCCCTTAAACTTAGGAGAGATGTCAGGAGACAGTCCTGGGCTGAGTCTATGCAACTGGCAGCAGCCCCTTTTTCTATATCTTTATAGGGAGTGCAAAAGCAGACAAAAGGACTGATTGGGAAGGAGAAGGGGGCCTGCTTGCTCCCCCTGCGGCCTGAGGACTCAAATAGGTCAGGCATATTCTCCTTAAATTCAGCCATTACTTTAGTAAACTTCTCTCTACATAGCATAGTGGAGGAGGCTGCCTTGGTGTGTGCTGTGGAAGAAGAGGAAAATAGCGTTGGGGAAAAGAACTAGTGGAAATAGCGTAGCCAGAGGAGACAGAACCTTCCACAGAACCACACCCCTCTGGCAAGGACTAGCCCTGGCTAACTTGACCTCCAGAGCGGCTGTGACCAGGGGCTGAAAGGGACATTACCCATTCAATCTTCACTGTCCCAGTTGGCATATCCCATGAAGGGACTTTTTAGGGACATGGCTGCACAGAGATGGACCACAGCCCCGAAAAGTTATAGCACCCTGCAGCAACTTCACACGCTGCACAAAGAGCCAAGCAGAGTGCCCCATGCAAGATCGAATGCTCTGAACAAATTAGAGGCGGGCCCTGCATCTTCTTTTCCGCGAGTTCTGGGTACAGTCTACCAAAGATCAGAAAATAGATCCACATAGGTGCCACAGTGCCTGTAAACAGCTTATAGAACCTTACTAGAAGAGTCTTGATCTGAAAAAAGTACAGAAAAGCATGTGCTTTATTCTGAGCAGAGATGCAGGAGGCTCGGAGTAGGAGGGGCTATATGGAGCTGTCCTTAAAGCTTTGATCTGCCAGTGTTCAGGCACCTAAAAATATCTACATAACGTATTGGTTCCAGGACACACTGTATCCTGTGACGTACGGTCAAGAATCAGCATTTAAAAAAAAATTAAATAAAAAAAAAAAAATCATGTACACTTTTAGACACTACTGTGTAAAACATAGCATCAGAGGCAAAAAATTGTACAAGGTTTCACAGGCGGCTATTTACATCACGCCTATAATGAGCTACCAGAAGCATCCTCAGAGTTTAATCACTCCCATGTGACAGAGGAAGAGCTTTCGCCCTTTATTTCCACATGTCGTTGCAGCAGCAGGGGGCTTTTAATGTTAGTGCTTTTCCGATTAGAAAACAAAAATCACAAAAAAGTCAGTCTGACGTCACTAAGGGTTCATGTACAGAGGCATTTTGGTCAAAGGAAAGATTGGAGAAGAGTTTCTATCACTGCAGGCAAGTCATGCAAGTCATGTAATGCTAATGACAGAAAGAAGAGGGGAAAAAAAAAAGGGGGGGCATTGTTACAGTTTAAACAAGTATCAAATCCAGTATTGTTTCGCTGGGTTTCATTAGAACATAAAGACATTTATGTAGAAGTGAGTAGGCTGTTTCTTCTCTTATTAATGTATGTGTACTGATGACACCTCCACAACCCCACCACAACCCCACCTGTTCTGGGGTTCCTTTTTACACATTCCATAGCGTTTGGGTCATATGGATATAAATGCCGAGGTATGCTCCTGACACGAATCAGAATTGAATAAGCGCCTTCGATAAGCTGTAAAGCATCTTCAATATTAGAGAACAAGTCCAGTTGAATGTGACTAACCACTAGCATTGTTTATATACTTACTTGTTATCTTCGACATCCATGTACGTCCTGCTGCTGGCTCCAATTCCTATTAAAGCACCGTGTCCTAGCTGTGGATGAACACCCCTTAGAAATTGTGGCCAGCTCCTGCATGTCACTTGCTGCTTTGTGCTGTAGAACTGTACAGCATGGACTTGCAGAGCTTAGTGATTGCACTTTGGTTAAAAGTCTGAATTATGAGCAAGCATCCTAAGACATGTCATCCTAACAATGCTACTCCTACTTCAAGAGAAACATTCCATGACAAATGCTCAGTGGACAGGGCTAAGCAGTGAAGGTGGGAGTTAGAGGAGAACTATACCAAAAGTATAGTCCAGCGGTAGGCAATCTTGCCACTCCAGCTGTGGGGAAACTAGAAGTCCCATGGAGAATTGAAAGACTGACAGCCACAGGCATCAGAAGCAGACATGATGGGATTTGTAATTTCATCACAGGTGGGGTTGGCACGTTCATTGCAGTCTTGCCTTCCTCCATTCAAGAGATGCTAAGACATGTCATTACAATAATTTCCTCAAGCTCACCCTGATTTATTCACATAATCAGCCCCAGTTTAGTAAAAAAAAAACAAAAAAAAAAACAACATTGGCTGTACACCTGCAGGTGAGCTGATGATGCAAAACATTACCAAAGATAAGCTCATCACAGTAAGGACTGACCTGGGCATGCCTGAAACTTAAACTCAAGCTCTGTGAAAGACTGCAAACCCACCACACACAATGAGATTTCTTGGGACATTCTGTACCTACACTGGGTAGAGAACATTCTCAGTACATCAGAAAATGTATTTTCATAAGTCACATCACTTTACGCATCACTGGTTCGGCCTCATCTGGAGTATGCGCCGGTCCACAGAAAGGATGTCCTTGAGCTGGAAAGAGTCCAGCGGAGGGCAACCAAACTCATTAGGGGAATGGAGGACCAGAGCTATGAGTCAAGGCGACTAAATTTAAATATGTTCACTTTGGAAGTAAGGAGATTGAGGGGGGATATGATTTTCATGTACAAGATGTTCAATGCTCATAGCGACATTAGCCACAAACTCTTTACGGATAACTCCATAACAAAGACTAGAGGCCACCACCTAAAATTGGTGGGAAAAAAATTCCAGCACAAGGGGCGAAGGGGGTTCTTCTCAGCTAGAGCGGTTAGGGTCTGGAACTTGCTGCCACAAGCAGTGATTTCAGCAAAAAGTGTGGAATCATTCAAGAAGCTTTTGTACGATTTCCTGAGAGACCTTAATATACAGGGGTACAGGTACTCTTAAGAATGAGAGGACACAGGGACCTATACATGCGCACACTTCAGCAATAGGTTGGACTTGATGGACTTATGTCTTTATTCAACCTCAAATACTATGTAACTATGCAAGTCATAACAGGCTGCAAACTAACATAGAAAAACAATCTCCAATAACGTCAACGTTACAAGATGCCTCGTGTAACCACCACATGTGTCCTATGAATGAAGCGCTTTCATTCAAAAAGGAAAATCTAAGGTAGGCATAGGCTGGCACTGCTGACCTCTTCCTCTAAATATGCTAGTTGCTTTTATGCTGTGAGTGTATCCTATGTCGGCAACATGGAAAGTAAAGAATGCTAGAGATAGCAAGGCAGCCAGCATGATCAGAAGGCCTGCAACAGAAGCCTATATAAAATTGAAACATGAAAGGGTGACTATACATGGAAAACTGGCCTAATGTGCATACAGTATAATCACAATACAAGTTTCTTGTATAGATATATTTACCTTTGTAGTCCACTCCTCACTACCAATGTCAAAGCGGTTTATTCTATCACTGTAAGAAAAAGAAAATATAGGATATTTATTAACAAACATTAACTAGATGATGCAGGAGGTTAAAAAGGGAAATAATCCTTTTCAAGAAAGGTACCATATTTGCCGGCGTATAAGACGGGTTTTTAGACCCAAAAACAATCGCCCGAAAATCGGGGGGTCGTCTTATACGCCGGGTATACTGTATGTAGCTTCGGCTACATACAGTATACCACGCTGAGCCAATCACGGCAGGCTTTGTATTAATGAATACATTACAGGCTTTGTATTAATGCCTGGCGTGATGGGCTCCGCGCCGTATACTGTATGTAGTTGAAGGACGGAACTTGGAAGACGGAGGACACTGCGGGGATCGTGGACAAGGTAAGAGACTGTAATCCCGAGTGTGGCTCGGGGTTACCGCTTATGGTACTGAAAATTAACCCTGAGCCACACTTGGGAATACCGCCATGGAGGTTAGTGGGTGCATTTAAACATTATTTTGGGCTATACTCGTCTTATACGAGTATAGCCCAAAACCTATATTTTAAACACAAAAAGTGGGGGGTCGTCTTATACGCCGGCAAATACGGTACCTAATTTAAGAATGCTAAAAAAAACACATTAGGGAAAACAATTCTTTGTTCTCTAGGCTACATGACAGATAAGCATGCTTAGGTATTAATAATCTATTTTTACATTTTATCAGATGCAAGCAATTTCTTTTTCAAGCACTAAAACCATGCCGTTTTAGCAGTTTTCCCCAGACTGTGCTCTATATTAATTCAGTATCTCACAAGAACATCTCCTTTTATCCACTCATACAGAACTAACACATTCTGCACTTCATCCGAAACTTATGCCGAGAGATGTGAAAATCAGTTGGTAAATTAGGCAAATCTCATGTTCTCAAAGTTTTCAATACACTCAAACATGCAAAGACAAATTTAGTCTGTGCTGAATTTATGAATCCAGTCCACCATGGAAA